CAGACTACATAATTATCAACCTGGATTGATGCAGTGATTATTATGGCGTCATTGACTCGTTGAAGGGTCGGATGATCTTTTACTGCGAAGGTTCCCAACATTTTTAACTTCACAGACCGAACGAAATGTATTTTGACAGACTGGAAGGGGAGATGTGGGGTCGGGGGGCAGGGTTGATACCGCTACACGCCTGATTAGCTTGTATTTTGCTGTTGTCAAGGAGTGTTTTGTCTCCAAATGGCAGTTGTCTCACTTGCTAGCATTTTTCTGCATACAAGACACTAAGGTTTGACTGCATTATCATCCCCAGTGGCTTTGAATCCATATTTTATGGAGCTATCATTATATTTTGGATTAAATTATGCTCTTTTACATTGTTTTTGTTTCCATTCTTGTCTTGCAGGTTTTTTTCTGGGTTTGCATTCCTAATAAAAACTTGAAAAGCAGCCAATAGCTACTTATACATAGGTTGATATTTTTTAATTACATGCATGTAAGTTTATGAACATTTTATTGTGATTTTATAGAAATAATAGAGTCTCAAACAAATAAAAACATAATTAACAACTAGAAAGGTGCACTTCCTGTAGAAAAGGAAGTGTGACTGGACAGCTCAAGCAGTTTCCAGATGGTTGCTAGCATGTCGCCAGGTGGTTACTAGGGTATTTAAGGTGGTTGCTAGAGTGTTGCTAGGTGGTTGTTCCAGTATCCCAGGTAGTTGCAAGGGTGTTGCTGGGGGGTTTCTATAGTGTTTCAGGTGGTTGCTAGGATGTTTCCAGGTGGTTGTTAGGTGGCTACTACAGTGTTGCTATGGTATCCCAAGTGGTTGCTATGAATGCTAGGATGTTGCTAGTTTACTTATGTCAGACTTTTGCCCATGCAATTACGCCTTATAGGACAGAAATAATCATTCAACTGTATTCCAATTAAAAAAGCTGTATATAAGCACACCAATCCCATTAAGACCAAACATTTTGGAGTTGGGTTGGAGTCGGTTTATTAAAAAAAAAAAGTCTGAAAAAGATGGTGTTAATAATAAAATAGTGGATTTCAGCTGTAACTCACCCTGGCTCACTACCACATTGCTGTGGCCTAGTGTCAAAGATTCGCAGCCTGGTGGTCTGGTGGTTTTACAGTACATGAGCTCCAATGTAAAAGCCTTTTCCTCTACAGGCCATGCGTAGGCCTTATTTCGGAGTAATTAAGCTCACTGTTTAATATCAGACACAAGAGAATATGTTGGTATCCATGTTATTTACTTGGAATGTTTTTGGATTTGGCTACAAGCAAGTACACTTATCTTTCCCTGCCGAGGCTGTGGAGCTTTGGTTCTGTGTGGGTGAGTTTGTGGCATCTTAAAGCTGGCCGTTTGCCTAATTTCACTAAGTTCTGGATTCTCACGCTGCTTTCAGCTGGCAGTTTGAGAGTGAAGGCATGTGTGTGCATGTGTGTGTGCATGGCCATATGAATAGGTGAATAGGGCATGTGTGTGTTAGATGGGCGTTGCGGTGGCTCCCAGCATGTTTGTTAGCGGGCCGGTGCCTGTCTGGGGAGGGGGGTTGATGGCATCTCTGTACACGGTTGGTGTAATGACTGCATGTGGGGGGTTGGTGTAATGACTGTGTGTGGGGGGGGCTGCAGAATGCAGGTGTGGGAGTGAAACCGTGCAGGCTGCAGCATGTGAGGAGGAGAGGAACAGCAGGAGCCTCTACTACACACAGCAACACAATCTCTTTATCTCTCTCCACCTATCTGTCTATCTGGGGTGGTCCCTGAGTTCTCTGCACTGTACTGTCTATATCTGTTTACTTATCTGTACATAAACAGTACTGTGCTGTCAGAGACCACACTTCATTTAGTTTCTAGTCAAACCCATGAAGTTAACAGAGAATTGCACAACGAATTATATTTCCAAATTGTTTAGTATTTAGTGTGTCCACTTTTTGCCTTTATTACTGCCACACTTCCTAAGTTCCACTTACAAATTTAGACTCAAGCAGTCCATATAACATTATTCCACATCTCAGATGTCCAGTTTAGGTGTTCTAGTTCAAATGCCCTTTATTGTTCTCTGTTTTCTTTTCTCAGTGAGGCTTCTTGACAGCTACACATCCTTTCAGACCCATAGTGCTGAGTTGTCTTCTCACAGTTCATGGACAGAAACACCTGCAGCTTGATTTAATTTTCTCCTCTCACGCAAAGATGAAAGAGCTGTTTATCTAATGGCGACAGTTTTCAGGGTCTGGCAGGTCTTCCAGGTGGTTGTTAGGAGTCCCGTCTTTTATAACTTTTAATCAGTTTTTTCTTTTATTTGACTTTCTCTTTCCTGTTGAAAGTGAATCATTTTATATCTAACCTTCTCAGAAATATCTCTTGAAAAATAAACAATTCCTCCTTAATGGCGGATTTGACTGTAAATTAAATAAATAGAGGGGGTCTGTGACCTTTGCTCAGTTCTATATGTATTGTCAGTGTCACTGCTGGGTAATGGGGTAGACAGGTGCAAACAAATTGCACATAAAAAATACTTTATAACTGTACACCTGTATAGTGGACCTGTAAGGTGTGTGTTTCAAATAAAGTGGCCAGTGAGTGGGAGCACTTTGTAGGTGTTTCTAATAAAGTGGCCAGTGAGTGGGAGCACTTTGTAGGTGTTTCTAATAAAGTGGCCAGTGAGTGGGAGCACTTTGGAATGTTTTTAATAAAGTGGCCAGTGAGTGGGAGCACAAGGTAGGTGTTTCTAAGAAAGTGGCCAGTGAGTGGAAGTACAAGGTAGGTGTTTCTAAGAAAGTGGCCAGTGAGTGGAAGTACAAGGTAGGTGTTTCTAAGAAAGTGGCCAGTTAGGGGAAGAACAGAGAAGGTGTTTCTAATAAAGTGGACATTGAGTAGAAGTACAAGTTAGGTGTTTCTAATAAAGTGGCCAGTGAGTGGAAGTACAAGGCAGGTGTTTCTAATAAAGCGGCCAGTGAGTGGGAGCACAAGGTATGTGTTTCTAAAAAAGTGGCCAGCGAGTGGAAGCGCAAGGTAAGTGTTTCCAGTAAAGTGGCCAGTTTAACTGTTGTGGCTGTCCAGCAAACAGGCATAAAGTAGCTTGTCCTTGATTCACTCCGTGCCCTTTCCTGCACGACACGCCTGCTGAGGGTCTTGAGTGCGCAACACATTAAAAGAGGGCCAGAGGATATAAAGCAGCAAAGGAAAAAAAGAGGAAGCAGTGGAGGAAAATGAGGAGCCAAATTGCTTGCTTCATATTTAATGTGCTGGTAATGGAATTGGCTCTGCTCTGTGCATTGTGGAAGTTGGTGCATAGCCCCCACACACCCACCCCCCCGCCCCCCCACTTTGGTGGGCCCAGGATTTTCTCTGCAGGGCTGGGCAGGGTGGGGAGGGGGAGGTAAGGGGGTCAGCACAGAGGGGAATATGCCAGCTGAGCTGCCAGGCTGCGACATATTTGCACTGTCTGTTAAAACAATGAAGTATTTTTACCTAGCCTCATTTTTCACTCCCACTCACGATCTAATTGGAGCATGTTTTTTTTCTGTATTATACTCTTTCTCTCTCTCTCTATCTCTCTATCTATCTCTCTCTCTCTCTCTCTCTCTCTCTATCTCTCTCTCTCTCCTCCTCCTCTGCTCGGGCACTGTGACCCGGTGGAGGCCACGCTTTCTCGCCTCTGGCTCGCGGCCCAGAATGGTGCTACCGCTCGGTCCCCTCCCATTGGCTGTCCACTCACTGGCCTGTCTCTGTCGATCTCTCTCCCTCTCTCTCTCGCTTTTAAATAAATTTGCCGTGCCCCGCCGCCCTGCGCCACACTGTAAGAGATATGCTGCTTGATTTGATTTTTCCACTTCAGAGCCAAAGCTGTTGATTTTGCCTGCAAATGTGTTTGTGCCTGTTTTTGTACTTTTTTATGCACATATAGAAAACAAGAGGAAAACAGGACTGACCTACAATGTCAAGAGCAGCAAAGTTTTAAAACTAAATAAGCTTCAACAAAAGCATCATTCCCAAGTAACAGGACTCATAAGGCAGACACCTATTGAAGAACATTATAGATCAGCTTTATGGAAGATTTTGATGCCCTCAGACTTAAATGTTCATATACACATTTTACCATATGCATGAATATGCAAAAGTTTGGGCATCCCTTATTATAGAACAATGTGTATTTTATGTTTTTTAGGTTAAACTCAGGAAATAAACAAAACATTGTGCACCTTTTGTGCATTTGCAGAAAAATGCAATACTTAAGCCTATTCTCCATAGAGGAGGTTTCTCCATAGAGGAGGACTCCACTGACCATATAGGAGCACTTTGTAGTTCTACAATTACAGACTGTTGTCCATCTATTTTTCTGCATACTCTGTTACCCTGTTCTTCAGTGGTTAGAACCCCCACAAGACCACCACAGAGCTTATATTATTTGGGTGGAGGATCAGCAGTACTGATGGAGTTTTTAAACACCTCATTGTCACTGCTGGACTAAGAATAGTCCGCCAGTCAAGTAAATCCAGCCAACAGCGGACCACTGATGAAGGACTACCACAAACTGAGAAGCGACAGATGAGCTATTGTCTCTGACTTTACATCTACAAGGTGGAACAACAAGGTGGACAGTGAGTGGGCATAGTGTTTAAAACTCCAGCAGCACTGCTGTGTCTGATCCACTCGCACTAGCACAACACACACTAACACACCACCACCACGTCAGTGTCACTGCAGTACTGAGAATGATCCACCCAACCAAATAATACCTGCTCTATGGTGGTCCTGTGGGGGTTCTTGGGCCTCTTCCAAAACAGCTGGGAATTGTATTTTATGGCTACTGTGAAAAACCTTAATGTCCAATAGATTTTATTCCCAGGCTTTATGATCACGTCTATCAGTCCATTCATTGTGATGTGTTCACACCATGTACAGCAATGATTTGTATGACATCACAAAATAAACCATGTATTTGTTAGGGGAGCTAAACGTTACCTCTCTCTCTGTCCCACTTGCAGGTCGGTACTGACTGATGTGCCTTTGACATCCGCTGCTGCTTGGACCGCTTGAAAGGGAAAAGTCCCGCCCCTTTTACCTCCCAGCTTCCGCCTGCTGCTTCCGTGCCAACCGAGACGAACGAGGACGGCTTAGGCCACACAACTCACTCTACCTGGTCGCCATAGCAACGCCCTTCGCGCCCCCCTCCCCTTCCTCCTTCTGAATGCTCCTCATGCTGCTCCTTGCACCTCTTCACAAGTCTGTTTCATAAAGGAGATTCGGCGGGCGGGACAAGACTTTCTCTCTCTCTCTCTGTGTGCGTGTGTGTGAGTGTGTGCGTGTGTGTGTGTGCATGTGTGTGTGTGGGTGAGAGGCGACTGCTACACTGCCTCTCTCCACCACCACCCCCTCCCCACCCCACCTTTTTTTGTCCCCTCAACCGTAATCAATAATGAGTTTCACCATCCGTCTGACTGGACGGTTCAGCTGAGGAGAAAGTGAGTGGGAGAGAGACATAGACGAACAGAGAGAGAGAGAGAAAGAGGTCTCCAAACTAGGAGGCCAAAAATGGGCCTCTGATAGTGGGTGAATTCCTGCCGGACCCCCCATAAAACACATCCACCGTCTCCTCTCTCTTTGTGAACTTTGTGCACCTTCACACAAACGCAAACAAGGCAAAAAAAAGACTTTCTCTCTTGCTGTTACCGCCGCATTGCCTGGATTTCCTCCCCATTCACTCTCAACTCGGCCCGAAATGGCGGTGAATGTGACACCCATCCGGGACACCAAATGGCTGACGCTGGAGGTGTGCCGCGAGTTCCAGCGGGGCACCTGCTCCCGGCCCGACTCTGAATGTAAATTTGCCCATCCCGCCAAGAGCTGTCAGGTGGAGAACGGGAGGGTCATCGCCTGCTTCGATTCCCTCAAAGTGAGTAGTGACTCATCAGACCCTTTATTGTGTCCCCTCTGGCCATCTATGTTTTGGGCAGTCAAGTAATCAGTTATCCCACACTTTTTGTGTCTGAAGTTTACTTCTCTAGTTGTGCACTGGAGCTGTGAGGCTACCTATACGCAAAAGGAAATATATCGTATCTGATGCATCAAGATGTGATTGAGCTCCATAGTATACAATATACAATATAATACATATACAGTAAACAATATACAATATACAACTTATATGTGTTGTATATGTTTTCAAAATATGTCCACACAATTCTGAATGTTCGCAAATATTTCTAACCTACTATATACGTATAATTTAATAGATATATGACATTTGCAATTTTCAGTGCACCCATATTAAAGTAATTTTAGTTTTACTTTTTGCCTCTAAAAGTCTAAAACATTTTAGATGGTGCAACCATCCAACCATATACGTTATGTAAGTAAACTATGAAAAAAAAGGTAATTTAGTTATTTAGTGTGAAACATTCTAAATAAAATAGTTTGGCATGATTTTATGTTTGAAATTTTTCAAATAAAAACCATGTTGCTACATAAGGCAACTTTAAAAGTACTGAAAAGTTCTTACCTTTCCTCAAATGTCAGGCAGCACAACCAAAAACAGAGGACTTTTATTTTGACATGCTTTTAAAAAAAAGGGGCCAGGGTACTGCATCATAAAGAAGACTCCAAGTGACCTTCATGGTGCAAGGCCAAGGTTAGTAGTCCTCCCACAAATACTGGAAACAAATGTGATTTTTTATTCATGGTTAGAACGGTTCAGTTTACTATGTCAGGTGTCCTGACCTCAGCTAAACCATAAAATGTGTAATTATTATGTTTTACATTTAAAAAACATGCAAGTATAAACTCAAGTTCAAAGATAAAGGTTTTAACGGGTGTCTAAGTAGATGCCAGTTTAATTTAATTAGTCTGAAAAGTCAGGTGGCTCAACCATATATATATATATATATATATATGTGTGTGTGTGTGTGTGTGTGTGTGTGTGTGTGTGTGTGTGTGTGTGTGTATAGCTCCAGTGCAAAACTAAAGCAGCAGACACCAAACATGTCTAGTCAGATCATCTATGTTTAGAGTAAGTGAAAACTTGACTAAACTAGATTTTTGCTTTGATAAGTGGAAGAACATTTGAATAAATGAATGAAGCAGTGTCCAGTCCAGGTAGTGTTGAAGACTGATATTGCAACAAGCACAAAAGTGGGAATTTCAAAACTGTGCTACTGCTGATGTACTTGTTGTGTTGTTTCTGTGAGGCTGTACTGGGTGGCAACTTTCAACTTTAAACTTTAAACCTGACTGGCATTCGAGTGAGAGTGGGGTTACAGGAGCCGTGTAAAGTAAATGTTGTTTTATCTAATAATAGCCTGTGCTTGACTTGGCATACGGATTGTTTAGACTGTGTGAAGGCATTTTGTTTCAGTTTGGAGAGATTGATGGTATTATGGAACATTTTAGCCTTTCACTTTAAGCTTGAAGGAATATTGCATTATGTAGAAATGTATGGTGGACCCTAACAGTAAACAAGATGCATTTGTTCATATATGTACTGCTGCGATGCATTTTACGTGGGTGTGGTGTAAAATCTGGCATTGACAGTTCAGATGGCGTGACACAGAAATGACTACAGTGATGCACATTAATGTACAAAAGTGCCATCTTCATGTACTCTTGGAATTAATAGGACGATAAGGTTTAAGATGTTTTCACTCCTAGCTCTTTTGCTGGCCTTTTGTGCTGTTGTATCTTTTTCATTTGGTTTGGCTGGTTTCACATTGCAACGGGGCTAAAGTAAAATTATACCTGGGAATGTTTACCGATTGGTCAGAAATTAAGCATGTATGTATATACTGGTGCTCAGTTTTCATACACTCTTAAAAAAAGATGGTTCTTTGCACAGCAAAATGGTTCTTCAATGTGTTGTGTATGGTTCTACATAGAAAACTGTTCTATTTAGCAATGAAAATGCTTGTTCTATTGTCACAAGCATGACATTGTAACAAATGAATAAGCCTTTCAGTGCTATATAGAACACTTTCACCACATGACAACATGATAAGCATGCAAATGGTTCTTTAAGTGTTCACCATATCTTTGCTAAAACACCCCCGAAGAACCGTGTTTTTTTTTGGGGGGCAAAGTTTAGATTTTCATATACATTATTGACAAAATGCGTTATCTAATACACTGTTGCATGAAAATGGGAACTTTTAATGTGTAGATGTATCGCAGAGTAGGCCTAATAAAAGGTCTTTATGATCGAAGGGTTCAATTATGCATTAGTTTGAATTTAACCAGTCAGGTTGCTGGTGCCTGATCCAAACTGAGAAAGCTACTACCACAGTCTATGTGACAGAAAACAGATAAATACACTGGTCCTGCACTATTAAACCATTTTTAGACCAGTAATAGTATCTGGCAGCTGCATTTTAAATCAGTTGAAGCTGTTTGTCTTTTTTGGGAGTCCAGTTAGGAGACCATTACAGTGATCAATCCTGCTAGAAATAAAGATGTGCATGAGTTTCTCCAGGTCTGCTTTAGTCAGAAAATCTCTGATCTTGTTGATGTTCTTAAGGTGATAAATTGCTGATTTAGTAACTGCTGTGACATGACAGCGAAAACTAAGAGCAGAGTCCATTAGTACACCAAGGTTAAGTGCTAGTTCTTTAAAGGCCTACCTCTAATTGTCACATTCTCCACTTTGAGTTGAGGGGGGTCTTTTACTTTGATTTTTGAATTACCAGCTCCAGTTGAATGAATCTGGTTGAAACAATAATAACAGTAGGCTCTGGCACCTGTTGCTTCTGCACTAGATGATTTCATTTTTGTGGAAATATTAGATAAATACCTGAATGAGTCATCTTCTACAATCTCATTCATAAACGCCAAAACTGCCAGTTTAAGAGGAGCCTGGCCACGTCCTATTTCTTCTACTATTTCAAGAAAAGACTGCAAAATGCTAAAGGCCGCTCATGAGTGAGTCCTCAATGAACAGGGCAGAATGGAGCTAAACTACTGAGTGCTGATTGTTTGGCATTACTGCTACTGTGTGCTGTTTGGTTAGCATTACTGCTACTAAGTGCTGATTCGTTAGCATTACTGCTGCTGAGTGCTGTTTGGCTGACATTACTGCTACTGAGTGCTGATTGGATGGTGAACTAAGTAATGCAATTCGTGCTCACTGATGTCATGAATGTACATAAGACACTGTGTACAATGTTGCACAAAAACTCCACATGAACCCATTCATTTTGGACACACTCCAGAGCACCCTCTATTGTTTGACAAACCCTGAAGACCTTATTGAGTGGTAATTCTCCTCAGTGGACATTTTTTGCTGCTGCCACTGCTGTAATGTTTTCCCACTATGATGACTTCTGCTGCATCAAATATAGACCTCCTCTGTGTACAGAGTTCAGAACTGCTACTGAGTGCTGATTGGTTAGCATTACTGCTAGAATTGTGAGGAAGACCTTACACACACACTATAAGTAAATTAAAAGTAAGATCTAAAATACTGCCGATTTTGTTAGAATTGCAAAAGTTTCCTGTACTTTTCTCAACGTTCATACATTTTACATGTAGATCCAAACTAATGCCACTACTTAGCCATTTGTCTGATTGGCAGGACAAGGTGTGATCCTGGTTACTGCTGCAGATGAAATGTGAACTTACAGTGGCCAAGACAGAATGGACACATCAGCAGGGATAAACATATATAACTCCAGCAATCAACATGTCAAGTCACAGCAGCCAAGCTGTTTCACCATATTCAGAACGGCAAGGGGCACCGTCACAGTACTGGGAGGGGTTTTCGTCATTGAATTTAAGCTAAAATGTGTTTCATACCACCTCCTGAAGTAGTTTGAGTGACAATGTATTATTGACACACCTCTCAGCCAATCCCAACTGTCTCTCAACATTCCTTCCTCCATAAATCGAAGGAAAAACTTCAACAGAACTAACAAACCTGCAGTGAAAACAGCAGTGGCAATAAATGGACTTTAGACTGAAAAATTGTGGAAAGGAGCGTATGAGGAACGTAAAACGCCTGGTATGTCTCAGTGCCTCAATGTCAGGCAGACTATTCAGGCTCAAAGTTAGCTAACTAATTAGCTTTTCTTAACTTAGCTGTGGACAGTTAGCTTGATAAATCAGTCCAATTCAACAGGACTCACATTAAAACATTAGTAAACAATAATGCATGTGTACACCTGCCATTCTTTCCAAAGTTTGCAAAAGAGGAAACCTTGTGTAAACTTGTGTAAACATTTAGAGTTAGCTTTAGCATTAGCTCGTTTGAAAAGGGCTGCTTCTGACGCTAAAACAGGAGTGTACAGCACGTGGTGTCTGGCACAGTTTGGTGATTTACCTGCTTAAACACACCTAATTACATTCATCTGTCAATTGCCAGGTTTAGTGTGAGTGTTTGAGAGAGGAAACTACCAAACTGTGCAGGACAGCGGCCCTCCAGGACCGGAGTTGTGCACTTGTACCACTTTAGACTTCTGCCACTTTGACATGAAATGACTAAATGACTTCCATTCCAATCTACTTTTATTCAAGGGCCTGCATTCATTTTTTGTAAGTTCTCAAACAGGCATGTCTGCACTGAAAATCTTAAAGCCAGTTTGCTTTGAAATGAAAAATCTCTCAGATGTGCTCCTCTGTGAGCTTCTATATTTTTCCTTTGTGCTACAGAACCTTTTAGTCAGTTATTATAGATGTTAAGAATGAAAGCCGATAGCCTGAGCTGGAGGTTTGACAGACATGGCAACAATAACTGAATGAGGCGGGACTTTCTCCGAGTCTGTCAGAGGCAGTTATGTGGATAATCTGATTCCTGATAATAAACCTGATTAAAAATCCTGATACATGACCAGGTGTAAACAGGGTCTTAGATTTGGTGTGATATAGCTTTAAGTCTGGACAGTGCAGCAGAGAAGAACAGTCCAGTGTTAGTCA